GCATCCTCAAGGGCATGTACAAGTCCAAGGAGCCTGGAGCTCGGGCTCAGCAATTGCAGGAGCAGCCCATTGTGGGAGCAGCCTCCGCCCAGTCGAATCCCAATCTTAAGCAATTCGACTCGTTGCCAGTGCAGCTGCCTTCTGGTGGACAACCCAAGCGACAGCGTCATCACCACCATCACCATCATCACAGGGAGCGGGAGAGAGAGCGCAAGGACGAGAAGCTGCTGCAGGAGTGCATCAATACGGGCATCTCGAAGAAGATCAACGCCGTGCCAAAAAACGTCCTGGCTACGTCTGCGGCTGCATTGGAACCGTGTCACCCAATGGCAGCTACTACATCAGCAAGTGCCCACAGCACAGCAGCTCCAGACGTAGAGCAGAAAGCGCACGCCACCAGCAATCCGCACCAGCCGCCGTCCCCGAGCAGTCCCATCCTCCCGAATCCTATCGACGCCATCGCCACCGTCACCGACACAGCAAAAAGTCCAGTAGCTCTAGATCAAGGGAGCGGGAGCGCGAATCAGAACGGTCTCGAGACCGCTATTGGGTCTAAGGACTTGGACTTGGAAGATCGCTCCAGCGATGAATCGAATCAATCCTTCATCATGGAGACCATGGTCAGGTTGGACAGTGCTCCCAACGAAACATGCATTTCTGGGGCAAGCGAGAAGCACAAGGATCCCGACCTGATGTTGAAGTCCGTCGAGAGATTGACAATGGAGTTCGTCACTTCGGCGGAACAATTGCGCAGCAGTAGCAACAATCACAGCAGCAGCAACAGCCACAAGAACACCAGCAGCAACAATACCTGGAACGAGCACACCTGTCCCAATGATGTGAGCTTCCCCAGCGTGAGTCAAACGGCTCCGGTTTTGGCTTCCCTCAGCCTGGATGAAGATGTCAAAGGTACGAAATCATTGCCTCATTTGGTTGAGATTACACCCACAAATGAACAGCAGCCAGCATCGCTGGAAGGTGAAACGGATACCCTGGTTAATGGAGAAGCTGACAGCTACTCGGGATCATCGGGTGGACTCAACTTCCAGTTGGGTGGGCAGGTTCAGAATGCGGGCGTCCGATTGGAGCCACAAAGGCTGTTGTTCAACGGAACCAGTGCCTCCATGATGACCAATTCAACAATGATTGCATTTGAGGCACGAGCTCTGGCCGAAAATCTTCTCCAGCCCGCTGCTACCGATGAGGATAGCACCGAGATGACCTTCAGTATGAACAGTTTGGATCTGGATAATGTGCGTCCACCATCGGGAATGGAATCGCTCAACAGCTGCTACCAGGAGCACTCCCAGCCAAGCTCGCTGCGCCAGCAGCTGCCCAGCAAGAGTCCCAGATTTGCGCGCAAAATGTTTCCCGCCAATTTGGTAGCTAGACGCGCCTTGGGTCACCTGGCGGGCAGTGCGGAGAGCGTGAACTCCAGCTGCAATCTTCTGGACAACATCAAGCCGCCCTCGCTCATGGACGAGCTGCTGGACTCCATGATCAGTGTCGATAGCATTCAGTCGGAGGTGGCCGATGGTGAGCAGGATTGCAGCATGGCCACCACTATTTCGGTGTCCAACTACGAGACGGCTGCTTGCGATGATCAAACGCTGACCGTCCTCCAAAGTTGCTTTGACGAAGATGAGGATGCCACGATGAATGACTACAGTTCGGCGGAATCCACGCCCAAGCAGGGATCCACTCCATCGCCGAACCGCCGTTCGCTCACTCCGAAGCAGAAGCGACGTCTCACCAAGGATCGCTACAAGACGTACACCATAGCCACCAGTTGCGAGATGGAAGCTCTGGAGGCCAATGAAACGCTGCAGATTGAGATTGTGGAGACGCCCGTTCCTATGGTCACGCCCTCGCCGCGTGCCAATGGACGAAGAAGGGGCAGTGCAGAGCGGTACAAGACCCAATTGATTGAGTGTCCTCGGGCTTTGATTCAACCCCAATCCGATGATTGCCCCAGCGAACAGTTGTCCTCCATTCGAGCAATGATGCAGCAGTTTACCTACATCACTGACATCAACATTGGACAGGGTCAACAGTCGTGCGAGGTGGCTAATCCTCCAGAAGAAGCAGAGGAATCCCCAGAGTGCGATCAGAACTCGGAGACGGAGTCATGCGATGGCCAGGAGCCCGTGCAGCTGCCTCCTCCTCCGCCAATGGTGGAGCTCAAGTCCCCTGTTGCGAAACCAACAACTCTGGAACCCGCCACGGCTGTTAAATTGGTTCGTGGTCGCAAGAAACCAGCCTATGTGTCACCATACAGCATGCAGAGCCAACGGAATGGAAACAGTGCCGCCTCGACCAAGAAGAAAACACTTTCTCCCACGATTGCCAAACGCAGTGTGGTGCCCGGCGGGGCGGGAGCAAGGCTACCAGCCAAAAAGAAGCCAACGCCACCACCGGATCCCGCTCCCGCTCGCTTGGAACGCCAGGGAACCTTTGTCAAAGACGAGCCCACGAACTCTAATGTTCAAGTGCCCGTGGTGGAAGCTAAACCAGCTCAACAAACTAGTCCCGGTCATCGCGCCTCAAAGCTGCCGACAAAGAAAACCACAACAGGCGGTGATTCACCATCGAAAACTGGCTCTCCCAAGAGAATTGGCGTGGCTCCAGCACGCCGGGTGACGCCCCAGAGGGCCAATACTAGTCTGCGATTAGCAGGGGCCAAGTCCCCTGCTGCCTCGCGAGTGGCTTCCGCCCGGGTGTCGTGCACCACGCCTCCATCCCGCAGCAATTCCAATCTGAATGGTAGCAGTGCAGCCGCAGCAGCAGCGGCCAAAATCAATCAGGCCCAGAGTCGGATTGCCAACATTTGGAAGAGAGTGGACGAGGCCAAAACCAAGCAATCGTCAGCCAACGTGAAGTCGCAGAAAACCAAATCTTCCAATACGCTCAACGGAAATGCAGCCAAGCCGACGCTCCTGCGCAGCTCGACTTTTGACAATAGCCCCAATCCCGCAGCAACAGCGACAGGAGGAGCAGTAGCAGTCAAGTCAAAGTTACCAGTGGTGGGAGCCCGGAAATAAAGGGAACTTTAGTCAGGAGAGCAACTTTTCCGCTTACCTTACATAATCACAAATTAGACAGGTTTAAGAGATTCCGGAAGTGGAGCCTGGACTGACAGGACTGTATTTGTCACGCATTTTTTAGCAACGGAACACGCACAGGTCCACATCCACAAGCAGAGCTAAAGTCAGAGTTAAAATCAAAGAGTTTTTAGGATAGGAGGCAATATACATACTTATACTATGTAATCAACATACTACTCTCCTTTTACTTTATACACGTAGTCCCTAAAACTTTGTAAGCAACCAGTCTAGCATAGAGTTAGCGCAAACTCCTAGTAACTTCAAACTAATCCAAATCACAGTCAGAGAGGGAGCCCCCGAGCTCCCGATCGTGTGTAGCCAAATGTATTGCATATATACACTAGATCAGGCCTTTCAACATGTGTACAACTCTCTTATATATACAAAATGTATACTGGCATATATATAATTGCTATATATTCGATTTGACACAGTTAATTAGGAAAGGTATATCAAGTCCAATTTGTGTTTTGATTTTATTTTTACAATTAGTTAGAGAGCGTTTCCCGAGTCTGGGCAAATATTTAAATTGCACATCTGTTTTTCGAAACAGATCTAAATTGGGATTAACTTCTAAGTTTAATATGCCCTGGCTTCCTTATGCAAACACCAAATATCTGAAGAGAGAGAAAAATCACCTTTTGTAGTCACAGCTTTTTAAGTATTCTTTTTATAATTTAGCTACTTAAGGGTAATCGTTTTAGAAAACAGCTTTTGTATTAAGCCAATCATTTGCGACTTAGTTTTTACCGATGCAATGGGATTAACAATTTTTAATATTAATAAATCGAAATATGCTTTTTGTCAGTAAAAAAATAAAAAATATATGGAATTTATACTTTGTTTTATTGATATTCACCTCTATCAACAAGAGATTTTAAATGTATTTATAAGAACAAGAAAATAAACTATTATTTTCCAAATCAATTTAAATTTAGAACTGTCATTAGGGTGGACCTACAAACAGGATGGTGTCTCTGCTATAATAGCTAAGACACCCTCCATCTATTTCAGTGTTACCGTTTGGAAAAGTTTTGGTATTTTTAATTGTGTTTTGGTATATACCAAAAATAAGCCATGGATATTCGATAAAGAATAGCTGAGTGCCAAATAAACAAACTAGCAGTACGTCCGCGAAAAGACGAATCTTTCCCGGAGAAAATAACGAGCTCGCCTTCAACACCATGCAGTCGATGACGCGGACGCGCGTACAGTAGAGCCTCCCCGATAAAGAACCCGGAGTCCGCAGGGCCAGAAACTACAGGCAGCGTGCAGAGATTTTGTGGTGTGTGTTGTGTGGGAAAAAAACGAAACGAAAAGAAAAAAGAGTGAAGAAGTGCACGAAAATAAACGCAAAAAATCAATGGGCGACCCCCCCACATTGGAAACCCAAGCTCCAAGCACCGAGCCCCCAAAGACCTTGAGACCCCAGACGAGACCCCATCGTCGAACCCACACCCTATCTATCTACACATCCACATACTTTCCATCAGCAGCAGCGTCTATTTACATTTTCACCCCACCTGGCGAAACGGACAGGTGTTGTCACATATCTTCGATTTGCGCGTAGAAATGGAGTGCCAAATGCCAAATGTTGAATAACCCAGACCAGTGTGCATGTATCACAGAAACATGCGCAAACCTAATCAGTGCTTTTCGCCAAGATAAGGGCTCTTTTCGAAGAGTTTGGCTCGCATTTGCTTTTGCTTTCTGCCACTGCTTTGGCTTGCCCACATTCGAACGCAGCTGGCTGGCTGACTGTTTCTAATTTCCAACTCTCGGGAACAGTGACTCAACCTATCCGATACGATCCGCTCGCAGCCCCATCATAACCAGCTATATCGTCATAGCCAACGCAGGTCTCTCGCTCGCTCGCGCTCTTGGCCGTAATTCGGGTTAAAAAACCATTCAAAACCGTAAAGACAATACTACCAATCGATTCGAAACCCCAAAAATCCAATGCGAAATACAGTTGTGATCTTTTCTCCATACAGTGGCACTTCCATAACTTAAACTCCCTATAGATCAAAACTTTTTATTTCCAGTACACTGTGAAAAACAAAAGTAGATATGGATTATCATAAACCATTAAAGGGTTATGCGAGTTGGACTCTAATAATTCAGTTAAAACAACAATACTCTTCGATTTCAACATAGTCCAACATCCATAACTCAAACCATCAATAGATCAAATATTTTATTTGCAGTACACGGCGAAAAACAATAGTTCAATCAATATCTTTATACGTTAAGGCCTATAAAAGCTTGACTCCAATAATACGGCTTAAAGCAACAACATTCAATAACCATATAGCTTAAATACCATAACTTAAACCCTATATTCGTAAATCGAATTAATTATTCAATACACTGTCGAAATATGTAACTCCAAATCTCCATATCTCTATAACTCAAAATTTCCTAACTGTGTTCGACCCATAGAAGTTCGACTGTAATATTGAGTGCCTTGATTGTTATCATCTTTCTTTTTTTCGGGGTCCCAGTGCATTGTGTTATTAAATTAATACATTTAGCTTTTGTTCATTTGCGTATTGTTTTCGCCATACAATAACATGCGTGTTGTGTCGTATTGTGCAGGGAAACCAGCCCAGATCCCCAGATCCAGCTCCAGACCCAGATCCATCGACTCCGGCCAGATGAGCAGCGGTATGAGGTCGCAGGACGGTCCGCGGGCGAAGGTCAATGCCGCCAGCACGCTGCTCACCCAGGAGGAAAACGAAGCCGTCTTCAGGCTGCTGGGCAAGAAGTGTCAGGTGAGTGGTGATGATGCATAATAGCCTAACGGGGGGTGATTAATAATTAGGCAATGACACGATTGTAATTCCTCCTCCCTCGCCCTCGCCGCATAAATCCCAGAGCTTGATGAAGCACTTCCTGCGGCTCAAGTGGCGTCGCCCATCATGTGCGAATATTATTCGACGCTTCGCAGAACCTCTGTAACCCTATATCATCGGTCGTTCGGTCGACAGCTGTTGCTGGCTTATTTACCCAATTTCACTGGCACACTGCTTAACATAATCTAATGGTTTCTTGTCCCATTTGTTGTTTGTTAAGTATCTTTAAAAATTCGCGAGAAGTTATTATAATTCTATACAAGTCGAAAATTAAAAGTTCCAAACTATTTTCCAACTTGAACCACAATAATTGTTGTTTTAAAAATCTTTATAATTGCCTCCTTTGAAACTCTCATTAGCTTAAGTCTTAAAGTTATGAACTAAATGATTTATTTATTGTTATAACTAGGAAGTCTACTTGACTCAATGCAGATAACCATTCAAACTAATGCTCATATTGCTTTTAAAAAAAAACATGAATCATTATTACACAGCTGTTTTATTGTCCTTATAGATAAAAGAAAACAAACTACTTTTTACGCCGAACCATAATGCCATCATGAATAATATAGTTTATCGCTATAATTTTATCTGTGTCTGTATTACATAAAGTCATTAAATCTTTTTGGAATGCTTTCTTTCTCTGAATCCTTATTTCAGTAAATACAGGTTTTCCTGTGCTGAGCAGTGTTGCTAGAACAATTCGTTAGACTTTGTTGGCGTTACTAATATTTACCTATCATTGCTTAGTACTTTATCGGCAAATGGCTCAAGCCGCATTGATGGCTACAAACGCCATGTTTGCATTTCTTGATTAGTTTTTATTTTTTACTCCATTTTCCTCACTTTATTGGTGTGCCAAAGCAAATGTGGTGCAAAATGAAAGAGAAACCGGAGCCTTTGGGTACTTCGCCTCATTGGGTCGCGATAAGTCGTTTGTTATTTGGGGCCCAACTACAGTGGAACCTTATCTTATCAATCCATCCGCCCGATGCGAATCACCGGCCAATGCCAAGTGCGATAAGAATGCCCTGAAATTGGAGTGGAAACTTGGAATGTGACCATTTAACGGTGGCCGTTATGCGGATAATTATGGTGTGCACAACATGAGAAAATCGCTCATTTCGATTCGCAATTCACGCTTTGCTAATTCGCAACTTTCCATTGACAAAACATTTCCAAATGCATTTGAACCCGGCCAAAGTAATGCAGCCAACCGCTGGTTAAGGTAGTTAGCCCCTCCATATTCACGCAGAAAAAACAAACTCACTTACTACCATTTTTCATATTTTTCCAATTCGTTTATTGACCACAAATACTATTTATAGAGCCACAATTTTAATAATGTTGTCCAGGGGTCTATAAATAATATTGATAATCCCAAATTTTTCGAAATGACCTGCTCTCTGAGATAAAGAAAAAGATTACCTGATATTTTTCAAGACCAAGCCTTTAAAAAACTGTAAAAAATGTCAATCGTCATATATATCTTATTTTCCGTGTATCGTATACTCCCAGCCTTTTGTAGTGGATGACATAGTCTCACATTCATCGTGTGATAACACTCAAGCTTCAGCTTAGTAAACCCGATGTTGATATTGTGGTTTGCCAGTTATCGCAACATTTGCCGCATTTATTTGTATACACTTATTCAACGCATTTTTCTGCAAAAGCCGGACTTTCTAATTGATGTTTATGTTTGGCTTTTGTTAGTTTTAAGGCTGATGACTTAATTATTAATGTATTTCGTTTACTTTCTAGAGAATTTTTGAAACAACGGAAGTAGCAAAAGTGTAAAGCAGAATCATTGTATATATTTCTTAAAAGCTAAAATAGCAATGACATTCTTTAAATATATTGCGAATTAAATGGTAGCTATATTTAGCTACATAAATGTTTTTTTTAATGTGGCATAATAAATTGACCACAGGGCGTATGGGTATTTTTACCGCTTGGCCCATATGGGTGATTTCTACCGCTTAGCCCCTTCCCATCCCCCCTAGATCCCCTTTTAACCCGCTTTTTGTTGGCTAAACGTTCGGTGGCAATGACCACTTTTTGTTGTCGCTGGTTTTCCATCGATTTTAATGCTTTTCAAAAGAAACAGCGGCTTGTACGTAGAAGGCAAGACATCATTTTTACAATGCTACTTATGTATGTCCACACACAAGCTTGCCGAGTAAAAAGCCAAAGCTAAGCATCCAATAAAAATTCAAATGTTCACAATTTCGCACTTGCCAGATATTCAGATACAAGTTGTGCGCTGTGTGAATGTGTGTGGGCTGGAAAGCACATCCACATCCACATAAGCATGAACATCCAAATCCAAAGCTATATAAAATACAGTGGCTCGTCAATGTCTCTTTCTCTTTTATTTGAGCCAAAGGTCATCTACAAACGCTTCTGCATGGCCATTGCCCATCCACCCATCCATCCATCCATCCATCTCTAATGTCCATTAATTGATAATGTTGCATTACTGTTCGGCTGTTCAGCTGCAGTGTTTCAATTACCAGCACGTAACTTTTTTGGATCAACGCCATCAATTAGCCACGAGGGTCACTCTTTGGCCTCGGGCAAATGCCAAATGTTAGGGCCACAAATCACCACTCACTTTTATTGGGCTTTAAAAAGCCCAAGTAACTTTCGTGTCCTTGCAGGGAAAATGTACTCGAAATTAAGGACGCTTTGCCTTGACTTTTCTGGCGGTAAAGCTTATTTTATATTATAACTTTGGCAAGTGTCCTCATGCGGCAATTTTGTGGCATCCTGCACTTTTCCATCTGTCGCCAGCATTTCCTGTCTGGGTCATAAACGACGTCTTCGTCACACAGAGGCACACATGAAACAATTTTTATCAACACTAACTTTTAATTTCCGACTTTGTTATCCAATATTATTTTAGATACATTTAAGAAGAAACTGTTCTTGATAAGGAACCTTAACATGAAGCCTTCAAAAACAAAGACTGTTTAAAGTGCATATGTCTGTTATTTTAAAGAGAACCCAGTATAAATATGGGAATTCTAAAATAAAGTGATTTAAAGGCAACATTTCTGGTCTTTTTGATGTAATCCTTCTTGAGATTTTTCTTTTTGAAACAAACACGACTGAAAGTGAATATTGCAAATACTTTTTAGAATAGAACAGATCTAGATCTGATTTTTCCCTGTGCACATTATGGGTTTCCGTTGCACTTCAGCGATATTCGCACCGATCGGCGGAGAGGTATCCACTAGACTAATGTCCACCGACTAGACTTACGCCCTCCATCAACCGGAGCTACGTGCTCCCCATCTTAAGCGGCGGCGGTATTGGCCATCCATTCGACTCCCGGCTGCAGTTGCTGCAAGAGGTGGCCAGGCCAGGCTAATCTGTATTCAAAAGAGTTAACACATACTGGGGGCCATCGACTCGATGGCCAGAAACTAGCGAAACCGAAAGTCAGATGAGTTTTTCAGCTCGAGCGCGACAGTTCATTCAGTTCGTGGTCGTCATAGTCGTTGCCTTTGGATTGATAGTTGCATTCAAATGAGGCGCAAACTGAAGGTGTTGGAAGGCTTTTGTTCGGCCACATTAGATAATCGCCTTTCTATCGATGGTCATAATTTTGGATGTGTAACGCAATCTCTGTGCTTGCTCCACTTTCAGACGCTGAACACCGCCGTGGTGCAGATCTACAAGACGGAGGGCAGTGCCCATGCCCACTGGAAGAAGCGGTACACAGGAGTCGTCTGCTTCGTGAAGGATAGCGCCATACGATCCTACTTCATGCGAGCCTACTGCCTGATCAAGAACGAGCTTATCTGGGAGCACGAGATCTACGATGGCATGCAGGTGGTCAAGTCAAGGCCTTTCCTCCTTACCTTCGAGGGCAGTGTAAGTATTTCTTCCAATCCTGTTTCAAGTAAGGTATCTAATATTTTATAAATTCTTTTCAGGATGGTCATGTGGGACTTAACTTTGTTTCCGAAGAGGAATGCGACTCATTCTTTCGGATTGTGGACGCCACCATTGAGACACGCAACCGGAAGCGGCAGGACAAGCGCAACCGGCAGAAGAGCCAGCAGGCGCCCAATGCTCCACTGCCTCCGGTGCAGCGGGAGCCGGCCAGGCCACCGCCCATGCAGGGCAGCTTGACCGCCACGGATGGCGTTCAGTTGCGTAACAACAAGATCAACTCGGTGACCCTGACGCCGGCGCCAGCGCAATCGAAGAACTTCTGTCCAGCAGCTTTGGGATGGGAAACCAGGCGAAGGACAAGAAGCGCAAGGTGACCAAGGCGGACATCAGCCAGCCGACGAACTTCGTGCACATTAGCCACGTGGGCTGGGATGCGAACAAGGGATTCGATCTGACGGGCAACGAGAATGACCAGGTGCTGAACGAGTTCTTCCTCAAGGCCGGTGTGTCCGAGTCGGAACTAAAGGATCGGGACACTCGCGCCTTTATCTACGATTTTATACAGAGCAACAATGTCCTGGCATCGGTGAAACAGGATAGTGTGGAATCCCCAACAGAAACAACGCCTCCCATGCCGCCACCGGTGCCAACCCGTCATCCTTCTGTAAGTTTTCTGCAATAATAATGAAATATAAATATAACTCATATATTTCATCTAACTTTAAATTAAGAATGGCAACCAAAGAACTGCACCACCGCCGCCGGCGAGACAGCCACCGCCACCAGTGCCCGTCACGGTACCGGGCGCCGCGCGAGCTCCTCCACCACCTAGCAGGCCACCACCCATCAGCACCGCACCACCGCCGCCGCCAGTCAGTGCGCCCGTCGTAGCGGTAAGTCATCTTGTCCCGATTAAAATGGACAACCAATAATTGCTTTTTCATGGCAGCCCCCACCACCACCACCGCCACCTCCAGTAGCAGCGGTGCCGCCGCCACCGCCTCCGCCCATGCCAGTGGGAGAGCTCCCCGTCATCACGACCACGCACGCACCCAATCAAGCAGCCCGGCCAGCAGCTCCCGCCGCTCCGGCGGCTCCAGATCCACGCAATGCACTCATGGACGCCATACGCAAGGGAACCCAACTGAAGGTGAGTGAACGGGCGGTTAATTGGTTCATTATGATTAACACTGACTTTATTACAAAACTTTTTTAAACAATCATGAATAGGTATTTTAATAAAATTATATAAAAATGTTTTGTGATAAAAATAATTCATATTCAGTTAAAATTTGGCATTTTTATAATCATGGAGAAAATGTTCCTTAAGTTTTTGGTACAACACCAAATGAAAAAAAAATGCATCACATCTAAAGGCAGATATTATAAATTATTACATTTTAAAAACCCATTTTAAATGGCAAAGTATAAAACTTCATTTTTAAATTATGTTCATAATTTAAAATATTTTTTTTGTGCAGGGTAAATTATACAACGATTTTTAAATGGGAATATTTTTTATTTAGTATATTATAGTAATTTTAATAATACTTTAATTTTTTCTTATCCCAACAGAAAGTGGACACGGCTGCTCTCAGCACCGGCAGCGGCGATTCTCGCAGCGATTTAATGAAGGACATCCGCCAGGGCACCGTTTTGAAGCCGGCCAAGGAACGAGAACTAGGCAGCCAGCGGAATAGCGACAACGGCGGCGGTACCGACGCCCTGGCCGATGCACTGCGTCGGGCGCTGGCGGCACGCGGCAACGCCATTCACTCGGACGAGGACGAGACCGAGTCGTCGGACAACGAGGGCGAATGGGACTAAGGGAGCTACGGATGACACGATGCGATAGGGGCAGGCAGACACTATTCCAAATATAAGCAATAATTTAATTCGTGCTTTGGCATTTTGGTTTATCGTTAGATAAATCCCTGTAAATACTGTTAGTGAATTTTCATACCTCTTTAATTTAATTGTATGAGTTTAACAAACGCAAAAAGTACTAAAGGATAATCACAAAATGAGAAATTTTATCAGCAATTGCCCTCTTACGTTTGTTTCGCATCACATTTGCATGCATATCCATAAAGCTGCTCAATTAAACATGAACGATACACATTCAATAATATATATGTGGGTGAATTTTGCAAACCCCGTTCAGACTACTGTGCCAAAAACTTGAGAACACCAAAATGTAAAACGAGTTTGTGAAAAACTAGAAATTCACCTTGTCTGCGAACTGAAAAACTGTAAACTGAGCGATAGAAATTTATTATAGTGAATATATTTTATAAATCTATAACAAAGGAAAGGATCAAAGGAAAAATAAACTGTGACTACGCTTAATAAAGCCACAGTTGAGAATTATTAAAATACCATATTTAAACTAATAGATTTGCCCGCAATTAACCATATACTAAATTTACAAGTTTGCTCAGTAATAATTCACTACTTGTTGAAATAATAATTAACTAATGAAATATGTGTGGCTAAACCAATCAAATAGGCGATGTATCCAATTCATTTTGACCACCAGGCTTCCTCGGGATCATATGGGTCCGCTAAAGCCGTTTATTACATCCAGTTACACCCAGTCGATTTATCAATCGATTAGTAACTCATAAGTATTTTCTTTTTAGTTCGAGTGCATTTAATGCAAACTTGTAGTCATTTTTCTTCTGTGTGTTTGTATTTAAATCAAGATTACGTATTTGTATGTTTTTTCGTGACATTTTCGAAACTACTAAACCCAATAAGCTTGTCAGAGCGAGAAATTTATGTGGATCAGATTTTGGATTAATATGTACGCATGTCTAAAGAGTTTTGTGCGATTTATGTATTTAAATACATATTACTTACATATGCTAATATATAAGCCATTAATTTATGTAATAAAGTTGTGTATATCTAACTTAAAACTAATGCTATCCGTAAAAAGTTTATTCGCAATTCATGGTATAAATTATACGCTCGGGCTTTTGTAGCTCCGATTCTATCCAATTACCAAAGCATGATTTACCAATCCATACATATTTACAATTTTGAACTGAACTGAGGAAAAACATGCAGTTGTATATTGGGTATGGCCTATCAGCTAACCGTAGTCTAGGGATTTACGTTTTCCTGAGCCCCAAGCGCGTCATCTTGCAATTCGCGCTCAATGTTGGCATTATTATTGTTTTCGGCAATTTCGTTGATATTGGAGTCATCGATGGCCGCCTGGCAACGGGGCGGCCGTGCCTCCTCCTGGTCCAGGTCCTGCTGCTGCTCATTGATGCGGTTCTCAGTCTCCTCAATTGGCCCAGCCGAGGGTCCCGGTGGCACTACCTCCAGTAGGGCCGGCTGCTCTTCGTGAACTAGTAGCTGCCCATCTTCCACAGGAGCGTGTTGCTGCTCCGAGAGCTCATGGTTGAGCACATTCTGCTGCTCCTCGTCGCACGTATAATTATTTTCTATGTTAGCTGCATCGCACATAGGCGTGGCCTGTGCTTCACTGTCTTTGGGAGCGTTGAGGGAAACTGTTGCCAGAGAGTCTGCATTGCCTGGTTTCTCCAGAGATTCCGAGGGTTCGTTGAGGGAGTGTGAATGCCTGGGTTCAAGGGTGACGCTTTCAGGTATATCAATTCCAGGGTTAAGCGGAGCAGAACTTCCACTTGGGAGGGATTCATTCTCGTCTACAGCGACGGAAGGCATCTCAAGAATAGGAGCACAAGGGTATTGATTCTCAACTGTAGCAGCCAACTCTTTAAGATTAGAGCCACCGTCTGCCAGGGAGTGATCTTCAATAGCAATGTGAGAGGATTGAAGTTCGTCACCATGGGGAAAAGCAACCTCATCTTGCGATTGTCCCGCGAAATCTGCGTGAGTGGCTACATCGTTTGCAGCAGTTAGCGGCATTTCACGGTCGGATCCCAAATCTGCAAGAGATCGATTTCCATCTTCAAGGATGGAGGCAGGATCCACCGAAGATTGGGCCTCTATAGCAATGGGCGTAAGGTTAGCAGCAACATCTGCGTGGGTTTGGTGTTCAGCCACAGGACTTCCATGGGATTGAGCTGCGTGGTTGGAGTCAACTTCTGTAGAAGGCGATGTACTTTTCTCAATCCCGGATTGATGTTCATTTGCTAAGGACATGCTCTCGCTGGCGAAAGGCGGAGGATTTTCACGGTTTGAAACAACATCATGAGCTGCATCTGGTTCCGAAACGACTTGACTGCAGATATTGGTTATGACCAAGCTAAATGCAGGCTCTTGTGGTTTTTGCGGAGTTTGCGGTGGAGTCCCCTCGGCTGGCAAAGCTGCTAGTACCTCTGTATCCATTCTCTCTGGTTCCGCTTGTAACCTGAGTGATGCCTCCTCCGGCTCGCTTTGAGGTTCCAAAGGTGGCAGCTCGATTTCACGATAGATGCGCACTCCTTCGTCCTCCTCCATGGCTTCCTCGGCTTCGTCGGCCGAAGAGGCACTGTCCTCGTTTCCATCGTCCTCGCCCCCATCGCCCTTCTTTAATCCGTTGCAGTGCATGGCCTCTGGGTCGGAAATATCCAAGTCCTTTTCCTGTTTCACGTTTAAGTTTCTTAGATCTAAACTTTGAATGTAGGCATCTTCCTCCTCCATCTTGTCGTTGTGATTAATCTCTTCTGTGGCGCCTCGTTGTTCCTCGGGCTCCTCATCGCCATAGCCGAGATTTCGCGGCTCCGACTTGATGGATACATTCGGCATCATCTTAAACGCCGACTCGCCACTAACCACAGCAACAATCTGTGGAGAGGAATCTGCTTCGGAGGCGTCTGCACCTTGCGTTGAGCTCCACCAGTGCTTTTGCGTGCTGTGGACTTTACGGGCTTCGCCTTAGGCGGAGACTTCTTTTGTGGCAGCTCCTCCGCTTGGGTTCCGTCAGGGGTGGCTTCTTCGGCCCTCTCCAATGGCATTGCCTCTTCTGCCATATCCACGCCACTGGCCACATGTGAGATCTGCATCATACGATCGAGCTCCATGCGATTCGGCTTGATATCTTCCTGAGTATGGGCCATAGCCTCATCCTCTCCCTTGTGCTGTTCGCTTTCATTGAAATTGCTCTCCAACTGGGTCATGGGAATCGTGGTCATGACAGTGGCTTCAGGAGCATAATCAACGGGTTCTTGCTTGATCCTAACCGGGGCTGCTGATCCTGAGATTCTGTTTGACAGCTCTCTGCCTCCGCCGACGCTTCCTTCTCGCGCTCCTTGTGCTTTCGTTTCTTCTTCTTTTTGCTGCTCCTGCCAGATCCAAGCCCCGCCTCATCCAGATCATCTATGAGCGAAGAGTTCAACTTGCCATGGTTCTTCGTTATTTTAAGCTTAAGTTTCAAAGGCTCCTGCTTCACGCCCATCTGTTTGTCATGGCATCGTCCTGGGGCTCCTGTTTGACCGACACACTGGGCACATCGTCACTGGCAAGGGCAGTAACAGTAGCTTCAGCGGATTGCCGTCGCAGTGCGTCTTCCGGTTGCGTTCCTCTTCACTGTCATCGTTAGCTGCCTGGAAATCGTCTCCAAAACAAGGTGGTTCATCCTCCCCTTCCGGTTCGGGATCACTCTCTGCCTGTTCTGGCGCTGGTCCCGTGTCATTGATGTGCACCTCCGGCTCATGTTTTATGCTGACCAGGGTGCTTATCGTGTTCTTGAGCAATTGATCCACTCGCTTCATGTAATTCTTGGACGATACCCTTTCGCTATTTCTGCTCTTGGTGGCACCCAGTTGATTGACTCCAGTCGAAGCCCGCAGCAGAGGCGATGAAAGGCGTTCCAGGACCACAACCGGCAGCATGCCCTCGTCTATCACGAAATCCGGCGGCACAGTGGTGGCCGGAGGAAGTCCCAGCAACTCCTCCTCTACCTCGTTTGTGATGCGCATCTGGGACTCATTGGTCACCGTCTCGGGCATGATGTGCTTCGAGTGACTGAGATAAATCTTCGCGCAGGTTGGGGCATGGCGCATGTAGGCCGCTTCGGTGTTAAGGGTGCGACTGCAGCCGCCGCACTTGCGTTTTCGGATGGCACAGCGGTGAGTGTTGTAGAAGTAGTTCGTGACGAAAGTCTTCTTGCACAATGGGCACTCCCGGTCCAGGACGAGCAGCTGGACGGGAGTGGGCGGTGTGTGCTCGCGCATGTGGCGCGCAAAGGCATAGGCATTGGCCACGCTAGTATCGCACAGGGGACACTTGTAGGGCGTCTTCGAGAGCTTGTGCCACAGCTGATGGGCGCGTATGTCGCTCTGATTGTGGTGCGTCTGGTTGCACGCGTTGCACATGTAGCGCGGTATCGAGGGCACATGCACCAGACTCTTGTGCTCGTCGGCCAGCTCCTTGCTGAAAAACTTTTCGCCGCAAACGCTGCAAATGGACTTGCGGCCGACTTTTTTCCATGGTCCCTTAAGACTGCTCTCCGATTCAGCGGGCTCTTCTTTGCTGGAGTTAGAAAATTGAAGGTATTAACCAAAGGGGTACTATTCAAGGCTTATTATGGTTACATTTCAGGCTCTGTCTTGGGCTGTATGGGCGCCGATTGTGGAGGCTGCAGCTTCTGCTTCTTGTGCCACACAAATGGCTCCTTCTTGACCTGTGTTTTGGCCATAAGGTTACTTCTTGGCCAGGTGGTATCGTCGCCCTTGCGTTTTCTGCCCCGTTTGCCAGCTGCTGCAGAAATCTGAGATTCCTCCTTAACTATGGGCTTAAAGTCCATGAGCTGTGGCGGGGGTAAAATAAAATAGTAATTATGTACATATTTATTAAATACAGTAAACTTATAGAGTTTACCTTTGCGGGCTCTATTTGCTTCAGTCCCAGCAGGTTTCTGGTTTGTTTATTGGTGGCATAGCACATTTCCCGAAACTCATAAAAATCATTGATTTTATCAACGCACTGGCTGCACATTGTCTGCGGCATTTTGTCGTCCAGTGTCACCTGCAAAGGGATAGGGCGTTGGTTCACCTGATAAGAACGAACTTGATCAGCTACCCACCGTAAAGCCCACCAGTTCGTAGATCTTCTGGGACATACTGGGCTCGTCCAGGTCGATGGGTTTGCCCTCATTTGGCAGCAGTATGTGCACTTTATCAGGATTGTCAATGCCGCACAGCCGACAGATCTTGCAGAGATTCGCCTTGAGGGCCGCGTCGATCTTGAAAGCGAACCGATCCATCTTGGGCGGATCCTAGCGGGTTATCTCTAAAAGCTTTTATCAACGGCTATTCGGCATTGCTAATTGTTTTATCTCAGGTTGAACTCGCATTTTGTTTATTCCACTCTACCATTTTCAACACTACGAAAAGTGTTGGAAAAAATCAATGTGGTATCGATAGAATTGATGGGTTCATATCGAATTACGGTACACAGTTGTTATTTTTAATTTTTAAATTAACATTATTCAAATTTAAGTTTTTAAATTTTATAAAAAACTGAACTTAATTTTCCATGTGTCTAGAAAAGATTTTATTAAAATCTTTACCATTAAAGACAGAAACCCAAGTTGAAAATCTTTAAAGCTTAAGATAATTTAAAGACTATATGACCACAAATTTAAAATAAAATTAAGACAAGTCCAGGTAGCCCTTTGATATTTTTCATAGACATTTTTTTGAATCAGTTTCAGTCAGCCACGATGACTTCATACAAAACCGGTTTTTTTTAAAAGCGTGATGTGCGTATTATAAATGTTTAAAAATTTATAATTTTTGCCAGACCTTGCTCTTAACTTTCCTTTCCCTAATTATATTTTCAATGAACTCAACATAAAAGTATCGCCTTGTAAATTAAAGGTGATTTCACAAAGAAGTTGAAAGTTTCTACGGATAGAAATATATCTGCATTTCGTATAGATCGTAGATATTTAACTGTTCTTTAACATAAGTTTTTTTGAACGCCTCCAAAAGCTGTTTGTAAAAATTATGCAAATGCTTAGTAATCGCTGATTCAATTAACAATCGTAAAGTGGCGCTAAAAACATCGATTGCATTTCACCCAGTCTTGTGTCAAATAAGCAATATTATATCGGAAAGAATTAAGATACCTCTACCGTTAAAAAATAGTGAAATTAACCATTATGTTGCTATATCGATGCCAAAATGATATGGCTTCAACAAATCACGTTCAGTTGTAAAAAGGAATCGGTTATAAGCCAACCCTCGTTTTAGAATAAACACAAGAAGGAAGGCCACGGGGAAATTGCATCGCGGTGTTTGAGAAATCGCGAACAGGCCAACACACTTACACCCACACACTCCTCCAGGTTTCCGGGGATCCCAGGCGACAGTCAGGAGTGTCCACAAGATGGAGCGGTACTTGAGCCGCCGCGAAAGTGGCTTCCACATCCACCGGAGCGACGACAACTTCGTGATGCGGCGGATATACAGCTCGATGAACATGTTCAATAGCTACCACGCCAACTGCAAGCCCACGGAGGCGGGTCGCACCGGGGCCATCTTCAACCTGGAGTTCAATGCCGATGGCAACGTGGTGGTGGCCGCCACGGAGAGGAAGTGCGTCCTCGTCTTTGACGCCATCACACAGAAGGAGATCTTCAAGGTCCCAGACGCCCACACGGATAGTGTCAATTGCATCAAGTAAGTGTAGGTTCCATTCCCGGGGGCAACCCATCCTAATCCCCGCTGCAGATTCTTCGACGAGCGTCTCTTCGCCACGGGCTCTGACGACTTCACGGTGGCCTCTGGGATCTGCGGAACATGAAGCAGAAGTGCGCGTTCTCCACGGCCACTCCAACTGGGTGAAGAACATCGAGTACTCCTCCAAGGACAAGCTGCTCGTCAGCTCCGGCTTCGATGGCAGCATCTTCACCTGGGACATCAACTCGCAGACGGAACAGGGCCTGATCTCGCAGAGAGTTTTCCATGCCAGCGGTCTGATGCGTTGTCGGATTTCGCCCACGGGCGATAAGTTGGTGCTCTGCACAAGCGGTGGCTACATCATGATCATCCACCACCTGGATCTCACCACGCTGCACAAGGATCTTTGCGGATTCAGGGTAAGGAAGACACGTCTTAACCTGCGAACCACCCAAAACTTATAAGCCAAAACTCTTTCAGCCCGGTATCTACCGACTGATGCAGTTGGGCGAGCAGTACATCCCCAGGCCGCCAAGTACGATCATGTGTTCTCCAAGCGCCAGAAGAAAACCGCGTGGAGCTGGTCACTGACTTCCCAGAGAACAACGACGCCGAGATGATCATGGCCTTGCAGATTCACCCGCACTGTCGCTGCATGCTGACCAGAAATGTCAGCTGCGACGAGCAGAGCGAGTGGACCTGCATCCATGACATCAACGAAGAGCCGTTGCGTAGCGATGACGAGCAGGAAGAGGTGGAGCCGCAGCCCAAGAGGAAGCGCACGACAACGCTCGCCAACCGCAGCGCGTTGAATGAACCACAGGACCAGGATACGGATGGATGCCACCCAGACAGCCACGGAGACCCATGCGCATGGGACTGTTCAGGTGTTCCACCTGGATAACGCAGGAGCAGGACGGGTGGCTGCTGGCACTGCCTCGGTGTCGACTCGTACGGATACCTTTATACCCGACATCTGGGCGGCGGAGGTAACAGTCCAGGAGCGGGCCATCCGCCAAACAGGGCGCGGAACTCCAACAATCATGTCAGCGGCTATAACTTTGTGTACGCCATCAGCAGCGGAGTGCTCCCGCTGCGACCCTCTGTGGCCAGTCGCCTGATGGTCAACAGCAGCAGTCCCCGCCTGCTGACCACTCCACCGCCCACGGAGGGCAACCAGAGCAGCAGCAGCAGCTCCAGTTCCAGTAGCAGTAGTTCCAGCAGCAGCAGCTCCAGCTCCAACAGCGACACCACCGTCCGGTTAGAGATCGGCCAACGGCTGCGCCTGCGACCCTTCATGCCAGCAGCGGCCACGTCCAAGGAGAATGGCCACTCAATACTGGTGAATGCCAAGAAGCTCCTTTACTACGCCGCCGAGACGAACACCAAGCCGGGCTTCATCAAGGAGCCGGGATTCTCGTCGGACGGTCGGATCGTCTGCTCGCCCTACGGCAACGGAGTGCGACTCCTGGGCTACAGTGATGATTGCTGCGACTATCCCAGATGCCAGGCGTTTGAGGAGGTGAAACGCGAGCCGCGAAAGCTGGTCGAGCTGGCCAAGATCACCGAGCACCAGGACGTCGTGCTGTGCGCCAAGTTCAGCCCCAGGGAGCCGCTCCTCGTGACCGGCTGCAATGGTGGCGAGGTAACCTGGTATAGACCCAATCTTTAGACTTCAGTCGAGCCGTGCGAAGAGCGCTCACTGTCATACTGTAAATTTTATTTTCTATTTAAGCATAATTCGACTTATGTCAAGCATATATTGGCGAAATACAAGCAACACGATAATGGTGGACCGATTAAGCAGATATCATTTATTTCACGCAATATGGGACTGTTTTGTGGGCGCAATCAAAGTATCGTATAGTACATATCCATATGTATAATTAGGAATCGATAAAAAATTACAATTAGATGTCTATAACTTAACAGAGCAGCAAGGCAAAATTAAACGAGTTGGGGCTCTTAGAGCTACAGGGGTGAGTGAGCTGAATGCTAGGACTTCAATAGTAATTGCCATAGCCGCTCCATTGGCCGTAGTTGTAGCCGCCACTACTACTGCCGCCGGCTCCACCGGGTCCGTAGCCCCACTGATTGTAGTACGAATCGTAGGACGCCTGTTGCTGCGGCGGCTGCGGGGGATATGGACCTCCACCGGCATTCTGCTGGCCGTAGTAGGCATTGGCCGCTCCATAGTTGTAACCTGCGGCTGCCGCTGCCGATCCACCATTGTTGTAGGCTACCGCCGAGGACGACGATCCGGAGGGGGGAGCACCTTCTTTGCTGCCTGCTGACGAATTTTGCGACTGGGACTGCTATCACTGCAAAAAATATGTTAGTAAGGTATAAAGAAGGATAATATCCCACTGTTTTCCTACCCCTTCTTTTGAGCTTCGTTGGCTTTGGTCAGAGCCTGCTGCAGGGCGCGCTGGGCATCTTGCAGACCCTTGGCCGTGCTGCCAAAGTCCTCGAGGAACTCGACCTTGCGCTGGGCAAACAGAACCTTCTGGTCGGCTTCGATGTCCGCTCGGGCCATAACTTATCCATGATCTGGACCACCTCCTGCTCATCCACCTTCGGTCGCTGCAGGCACAAATCAATCATCTGCAGGGCCACACGAGTGTTGGCCGGATCACGTTCCAGCGCTTGCTGCAGAGCGGCACTCCGCCATCGAGATCATTGCAGATTTTGTTGAGGAAACGGGCATACTTGATGGCCAAACTGCCGGCAATGCCCTTGTTCTTTGTACTCTCTATATAGTGCTTGTACAGCTCGCGACACTTGTCCAGCGCTCCCCGACGTCGCTCCACATTGATCCGGCGATAGGCGAGCTGAAGGAGATTGGGACATCGTGCTCGATGCGCTCCAAAACTTCGGCGGCGGCATCAAAGTTCAGCTGACACTCCTCGAAGGCGGCCCACATCAGGTGCAGACTGGGCTTGTCCGGATGATGGATGCGACAGCTCGACGGAAAACATCGCGCATAAGATCAATCACCCCGCTCTGGTCTTCCAAAGACTCCAGATAACGCAGCATTTTCAGCCAGAACTCGTCGTACAAAGCACAGGCGATTAGGCATCGCTCAAAGAGAACCAGGACACGTTGGCGATCGCCCTTTTCGATTTCAAAGTCTAGGTAGTCCTTCCAGTTCTTGAGCTGTGCTCGTTCGAGGGGCTTCACATGGAATATGGACGCTTGATGCCCTCCTCGAAGGACCAGCGTGCGGTGACTGCGTTCACAGTCACTTTGTGGATCTTGCGGCGAGCCGAAATTGCCCTGTCCTTGATGCTGGCCACCTCCTCGTCGTTCAGCGTGCTAAGATCACTGAAATCGATCTGAAGCGCCGCCTTTGGAGCTGCAGGCGGTGACTCGCTTTCGGTCAGATCGGTAGTACTATCTGATTCATCGACATGAGTTTCACTAGTATCTTTTGGCGACTTACCAGCCCCGCCACCCCGCCGCCAGATTCGCGCTTCTCCTTGGACTCCTTGTCCTTGTCTTTGTCCTTGTCCTTGGTGCTGCTGCTACTGTCGCGTCGATGTTTGGAGGAGGACTTGGAGGATTTGCTCTGCTGACGCTCGTGGAATTCTTTGCGCAGACGGATGAGCTCCTCGTTCTCAATTGTGCTGATTATAGCATGCTGATTGATCACATCCTGAAAACTGATGGGGATGTTTAATTACTAACAATTCCCATAATTTCCAAAAAGATAACTCACTTGTCAAATGGCCATTGTAGCCTTGGGTGGGTATGGCCAGAAGCCTGTCGTAGATCTGGACTACGCGATTGTAGCGCTTGGACTCGTTCTCCCAGCGAATATAGGCATCCCAGAGCTTGTCCGAACGGAACTCCAGGCCACATGCCGCCACCGCTCGCTCGTACTGGGCACGGATGAACTGCTCGTCCTCTCCATGGTGGGACTTGACGTGCATCAGGTAGTGGATCCACAGATCCACCGAAAGCGGTATCGCCTCCAGGCCGCGCTCAAACACCTAGGATTTGTTCAGTTTCGTATGTTCGGTACAAGTTTTGGGATTTTTGTTTGTTTTTCATTTATTGTTGATCGATCGCAGAAGAGAAATATAGAAATATTCATGGTTTATAAGAAAACTTTCAACATTTACGTGCTCAGAGACTTAACGGCTATCATTTTGATGTGAATGGTGTTCGAGCTTAAAGGCTAACTTAGCGACTTTACAAATACACGAAATACATAACACACAGGTTGTAGTTGTTTTCTTTTTTAGGCACACACTTTCAGTGTTCGATTTACAAGAAACTTCACAAAGAGACTTAAAAATTTCATTTAAACGCCATTTGTACTTACGACTGTACGAGATGCGAGAGCTCACTATTTATATCGTGTTGAAGAAGGATGGAGGTAACGTAACTGAAGAGGTAACTGGTGATACAAACGTACGAAGATCAGAGAGTAGACGGATCGGATCGAACGTCGACTAAACGAATCAGTCGCTTTCGGGTTCAGGTCGGTCTGGGGTTCAAGGGGTCAGCTGAGCTGAGCTGAGCTAAACTGGGCTGGGGTTACAACGTGAGTTGTGCGACACAGGGTGAATTATACTAAAACGTCCATTGTTGTGTCGTGAAGATAAAATTACAACATTTGATGGGAAAAGATCACCAAAAATACGTGCTTAGGTGAATAAAAATGGTACCGAGTATAAGTATGCATCAAATCAGGTTGATGTCTGTAAAAATACCCTCGCCAGGAATTCCAAAAAGTGTTAATTGTGTGTGAGGAAATAAGGTTATGAAACCGAAACAAAAACTATTTTAATTAAGTGGGAAAGCCACATTAAAAAGCTTGAACACTTTACAAACGAAATGTCCAAATATTTACTTCTAAATTCAAATTTAATTGGAAAATTTATGAAAAAATTTATAATCATTATTGACTGGGTAAATGTTGTATATTTTCATTTAACATGAAAATGATAACATTCTAACCAGTTTCATTAAAATCTCAATTAAATCACATTCTCCCATTAAATAAATTCCAAAAACGAATTAACCTTTCTAATGTGGTTTTCCACCGAAGTTAATGCGATAAAACTTTCAATATCTTTAATGGTTCTGTGGCAAAACCAGTTTCAGTTTCATTTCCTGTAGTACATACTTGACACAGATAAGCCCTATGAGAAAACACGACCCTGACTGGAGGCTACACTAGTCGTCTCATCGCTAAAGTTTTGTATTGTCTTTTCAATTTGGTGTTTTTATTTTGTAGATGTTGCATTTATTGAATGTAGTAGTTTTTATTAGGTCATAATAAATTGCATTTAACAACAAATATATGAATATCAATTGTAATCGTAATTGTAAGCGTAATACAAGAAATTGCGAAAGATATTTAATTGCACGACCAAATGTATGGGGGGTACTCACCTTGTAGCAGTTGGCCTTGATGCCCTTGCGCTTCTCGTAGTCGGCGTACTTGCGCCAGTAGCCATAGCAGTAGGGATAGTGCGACAGGAATGTGTCGTAGGCCTCACGAGCAGCCTCTGCATCGGACTGTTGTAAGAAAAAGCATTTAATAGGATTAAGAGGGGTTTTTGTCCCTTACACCCACCTCACTGTCCACATATTGCAGTAAGTACGTCCAGCCGGTAAAGTCAGTGACATCCTCTTTGACTGCCCTCCAGTATTTATCTAGGTCCGGCAGCTTCTTGCGCTCCTTCTCCTTCTCACTATCTTTCTCTTTGTTTTTCTCCGGCTCCTTATCTTTATCCTTATCGCGCTCTTTTTCCTTCTTCTTGTCTTGGGTAGGATTCTGCGGTTTTAATGTTGGGTGAGTTTTTCCTTAACAACATACTAGAATGGTAAATATTACTACTTACCATCACCTTGACTTTTTTCTCCAAGGGCTGGGCATCGTTGCTCTCTGAAGTGGGACTTCCCGGATTATATTGCTCTTCAGACTTTTCTTTTGTGCTCGTTTCAGCGCTGACCGTTTCCTTATCTTCAGTGCTCTTATCGGTTTCTATTTCCGCCTTGCGCTTCACTGGAGCCTTGGGCTCGCTGGCGGTGTTATTGTTATTATGGGTGGGCAGCTCGTCCTCGGAGATTACCTCGGCGTCCGCTGGCAACTCAGCACGCTGCGGGGCCGGCAGCTCTTCGTCCGAACTTCCTCGGCATCGTTGATCTCCGGCTTGCTGGGCGGAGGAAGTTCATCCTCGGATATTATTTCTGTGTTGACAATGGTGGCATTGCTTGTGTCCGCCTCATCGGCCAGATCCTCGGCTATTGCATGGTGTGAGCTAGAGTCTTCGGAAGAATTCAGTTTCTCTGCCTGAGGCTGCAGGGCCTCCACATTGTACTCAAAGTCCGCCTTCTTGGCGTTGTCACTCTCATCGTTTCCACCCACGGAGGGCAAACTATTGCATTGTCGCCGGCCATGGAAGCCAGAAGTGTGTCCACGCCAGCCTGACCGCGACTCTCCTTGATGTCATCGCTAGTCTCTGAATGTTGCTCCGCCACCGTGCCAAACGGAAAGGAAGAGCTCTTCTCATCTACGCCGCCGGTTTCAGCGGGCGTAGCATCTCTACGTCGTCGTCCAGCTGAAGCTGTGTCTCCTCAAACTGGGGCTCCAAAGCGGGTGCCTCTTCGGTGGGCGCCACAACAAAGGGCTCCTCTTCATCCAGAATCATAATCACCTCAGCTGCCTGCTCTTCGGGTTCCTCTTCGTGGTCACTTACCTAAAAAGATAATTTAGGTTAAGATTGGGGTACCGGCACTTGCTAATAGAAGTTAGATGATGCGGTGCCATCAGTTGGCCCTTGCAGGTAATCACTTGCTCCTCCGGGAAGGAGAATCATGTGCGGATGGAACAACGCCACATCCGCACTGGACATTGCAATCGTTTACATCATTGGCGGGTGGTCCAAAAGGCATATGGTTATATCTACGTGGGTTGTACTAACCTGCGCGTTCCGCTTGGATGTGCGTCGGGTGCTTCTCGTCGGTAGCGATGCAGCCGGTGGTGCGGCCTTGCGACCAGAACGTGTGCGGCGACCTGGAAAACGTCAATTAACTGTCTTAGTTAATCCATGCGGTTTACATAAACTGTACGCGCGGTGTTATGGCTTTGGGGCCTCGTGATGCTCTCGTTTTTTTTTCGAACTGGTTTTCTAGCCTTCTCGAAGTGACTGGCAATGTCAAGTGCCGAAGTAGACTCAACAGAACTGATTAGTAATCACCAGGCACTGCGATTCGGTTGAATGAATCCATTTATTTGTCAATTTTTGGACTTTACCTGGACTTTCCATAACAACGTTTTCCTCTGACGCCATATTTATTAGAGCTGGCCATCCATCGATGACACTACCGATAATATCAATGGTTGGGTGGCACCCTGTATAATTGATGGCTTGAAAACTATCGCTATGGTATGGACATAATTTACTTTTTAATATTCTTATTGTTTTTGAACGTAATTTTTTATATATTAGCTTTTTGCGTTCCCAATTTTTCGAGCTCTTTAATTATTTTAACGTGCTATATTGTTTTACTACCTAACAAAAAATCGATAGCGTCGATGCTTTTTCATCTCTTCCGATTCCCTGTTGTATCGACTAATCGAGTATTTATGGTTTTGGCTTTAAAATAGCTAGATGTTGTTAACCAAAATAAATAATAAGTATGAACACGAATACCATTTGAAGAAAGCCGAAAACATTTCGTAGTCCAGAAACATAAAATATATAAAAGTGGATCATTTAACAAATTTCATAACGTTTAGAGGATTCATCTAAAAGCAAATAAATAACTTAAATTATTTAATAACAGTAAATTTAAATATAATTAGAGCTCAATATTTGAATTGTAATTTTTTGAGTTAAAAGGTGTTTTTAAAAAGATAATTGGATTTCACATAAACCATATGAAAATGATTTATAATATTATCAAACTTAAAACCAATAAAAATAATTCCAATGTAAATAGTTAGAATCTTTAAAGGAATTTGTTCCTACGTCTTAAGTTCTAAAATATACTGAAATAGCATACAAAAATATATTTTTTATGCAAAATAAACCATTTAATTATAATTTAATTTACAATTACACTTCAGAAACAGCGAAATAGCTATAAAACCGTCATCCGACCAACACTTTTAGCGGGACTGCCACTCGTGCGCGTCTTCCAACACTGTTCTCAAAATGGCGACTCGAGAATTGTAAGCGTGACAAAAACAACAAAGCCAAGGCGCATTTTACAATAATTAAATGTTTTTCGATCAATTGCGGCGCGTTTAACCCATCGAAAGCGATCGCGATGCGTGATCCGTGGACCCAGTGACCGGACCCGACGACCAGTGAATGTGAAGCGCCAGCGGCGCGGCGAACAAAGACAAAATACGGCGAGCGAAAACGCCGACCGCATAACCTGTACGTGTACGCAAGGCAAGGCGAATGGAGGGCGGCAAGGGCAGCGGGAAGCGGATGAAGGAGGAGGCGCCAAGCAAGAAGTTGCCGCCTAAAATCTACGGCGGCGATGCGGGCACCCCCACGAAGGCGGCCCACGACGAGATCCTCAGCTCGCTGCTGCGGATCAACAACTTCGATTCCATATCGAGCATCAAGGACGAGTCGCTGGACATCGATCTGTCGGCCTGCGTGACCATTAGTTCCGCCAGCCTGGTCAACGGCAATAGTCTCTCCTCCACGGACTTCTGGCGCGTTCTGGACGAGAGCGCCCAGAACAACACCGAGCTGAATCTCTCCTCGGACGTCTGCCGCGATGATCTGGCGGCCACCGGCTCCTCGGCCGTGCCCAGCAGCTTGGCCAGTGATAACCACTCAAGCTCCGAGTTTAGTGTGACATTCCTGCGGCCCGAGCCGCCGAATGCCTTCACCAACTCGCCCTTCAAGAAGACGTCCTCCAGCGGCACCTCCACGCCCGTGAAGCTATCACCCGAGCAGCTGCATCAGCAGCATCCCCTCCAAATGCCCCAGGCTCAGTTGCTTCAACGCAAGCCCAAGCTGCCGGCGGCAACGGCGGTGCGCCTGAAGGTCTTCAAGGAGGAGCCGCCCGAGGAGAAGCATCCGCCAGATCAGGTCGTCACCAAAGTGGAAGTGTGCGAGCCCGAATTTCAGCCCCCGTCGTTCTACATGTTCCAGCAGGCCAAGTCGGCGGAGGCGGTGGCGGTGGCCGATGCGGTCAGTATGCCACCGCCAGCAGCTTCGGAGTCAAAGCCTTTCGAGGTGGATCCTGCTCCGCTGCACAAGTGCCTCGACTGCAACGGACTGCTACTAGAGACGCCCGACGAGATGGCCAAGCACGAGGCGGCTGCCCATCGGCTAAGGCTCACCTACCGCTGCAGCGAGTGCCAGCGTGAGTTCGAGGTGCTGGCCGGCTTGAAGAAACACTTGAAGACGCATCGAACCGAGGGACGAAAAGACACCTGGAAGAAATGTCCCGATTGCGGGAAGTGGTAAGTGCTAACAGAAATTTCAAAACAGGCACTCTCATTAAACGTTTTATCCACTTTTTAGCCTCAAATTGGGCAGCATGTGGATGCACCGAAAGATCCACAGCGATAACAAGAAGTACCAGTGCGACATCTGCGGCCAGAAGTTTGTGCAGAAAATAAACCTGACGCACCACGCACGGATTCACTCATCGGAGAAGCCGTACGAGTGCCCCGAGTGTCAAAAGCGGTTCCAGGAGCGCTCCCATCTGCAGCGTCACCAGAAATACCATGCGCAAACGCGTTCCTATCGCTGTGAGAAGTGCGGTAAGATGTACAAGACGGAGCGCTGCCTGAAGGTCCACAATCTGGTGCATTTAGAGCAGCGACCCTTCGCGTGCACCGTCTGTGACAAGAGCTTCATCAGCAACTCGAAGCTCAAGCAGCACTCCAACATACACACCGGTATGCGGCCCTTCAAGTGCAACTACTGTCCGCGTGACTTTACCAACTTCCCCAACTGGCTGAAGCACACGAGACGTCGGCACAAGGTGGACCACAAGACAGGCGAACACCTCGAGAACATTCCCTCCTACTGCTCAAAGAAGTCTACCACCAACAAGGCCCAAAAGGCAGCCGCGGCAGCAGCAGCGGCGGCGGCGGCAACTGCAGCAGCGAATCCCAACGATCTTGCCGCATCTGGTGAACTGAAAGTCAAGCCGAATCTTACACCTGCAGTTGCGCCGGTTCCCGCAAAGCAAGCACGGAAAAAGAAGCAACCGCAGCAGGCCACTCTTGCCGCATTGGGGATCACTCTACCGGCGGGTACTGCCCTGCAGCAGGTGCATCCCGTACCGTCAACGCAATCGCATCAGCAGGAGTTATCCACCGTACTGGTACCTCTGCCTCCGCCAGCACCTAAGCAGACCAAAGTCAAGCGAGAACGAAAGCAGCTGGCGCCCAAGCAATTGCAACAGAAGCCACAGCTCCTTCAGCAGGCTCAGGTGCAACAATCCAGTCTGGAGCCTATTGCTGCAGTGCCGCAAATCAAGAAGGAGCCAGCGCAAAACCAGGGACCGTTCCTTGACTTACACGGTCTCAGCCTGACTTCAGCAGAAGAGCTGATCATGGAGCAGGCCCTGGAGATGGAGGAATGTGGTCTGTACGATGCACCTAATGCGAGCACGGAAATGGGGACGTCGGACAACGCCATCTCAGATTCAGCCGCTGCCCTGCACTTCCAGATAAAAAATGAACTGCCGGACGAACTGTTACCGGACGATGATTTCAGTAAGTTCCAATTTCAAATGTTCCGTTATATTCTTATTAATTAGTATCCATGATCTGACATGTTAATATCCTATCTGATTATCAAATAGATACAAAACCGTTTTTAATTACAGCTTCGAGATAATTAGTCAGTTTAATAGAAAATATTTTTTTTTTTTTTGATTCGCTGTTAATAGAAACTAATAAAACGTATGATTTTGTATTTACAGTGCCTTGCAAGCCCAGCGACCGCCTAGCTTGTCCCTCACTGGAGTCCTCGCCGTTCTCTTCTCCCGCTTCCATGGAGTTGACCGCCGTCTCCTCTGCATCCAGTGGCGCCACATCGGCCCAAGCATTACCGGTGCGATCTGGGAACTACTACCTGCCCGCCTTTACGCTGAACGCGCATGGCAAGCTAAGCAGTACCGGCAATGCGATGCAGTCTGTGACGACGAGTTTGACTCATACACCCTCTGTGTCCATGGTGAACGTGCCGCTGCTAGTGCGATCCAATCAGATGCTGCCCTCGGTAGACACGCTACTCTTCACCAACCAGACCGGCGGCAGTCGATTCTTTGCGGGAAAATCGGCGACAGCGGCGTCGCCGCATCTGACATGATCGGCCGGCGGCGTCGTCTGCTGCCCGCCAACATGAACGCCTCAACGATCTCCTGTGTCTTAGTTTAGTAGCAGTGTCCACAATGTTGCGCACGCGCAATTGGGCGGTCGCTGACCGCTGGCAATCGTTTAAAAGAATTCGGATTATAGTCCGTAGGTAATTAAGAGTATGACGCTACATTTGTTTAAGTAATTGACCTAAGCTGATTTCTGCATAGTCCGTAAGTGTATTTGAGTGTATATATCTTTAATCTTTAATTTGTACGCTTCACACCAATAATAAATTTCGTACATATTTTAGTAAATAGCCAATAGTAGATTTATTGAGAAACATTTCGAAGGTGAACACTCGTTAGGCTAAGGCAGAGATTTCTTTGCCCCTCCTGATTTTGTCGACCGAACTTTTTTTAAATCGCCCTGTACTTCAAAGCAGATGCGAGTTGGTCTTTCTGTTCCAGAGGAATCGTAAGCTCTGAGCATCACGTGGGCTTTGTAGCGTCCTTCGGGAAAAGTCCCTGTCGGGCTGGCGGTCAAGCTCAGAATAAAGGTCTGGTGCTCAAATTGTGTCTGCAATGTGAAGAATTGAAGTGGTATTTATTATTATTATTATATTGTTATACTTATTTATACCGACCCCGGGAACATTAACACACTTATCCTTAACATCATTTATGATATACTGCGTCCAATATTTGAACCAGTACTGATTTTTGTCGTACATAACCTTGCAGAAATCGTTTACATTTATTGACAATACGGTAGGCATCCAGGTGCCTCTGTCCAAATGCAAAACGTTTGCGGTTACCTGGGAAAAATGAAGGATACGTCGGCGATTGTATAGAATTCCATTATCAGATGAACTGGGGGGGAGTTAATCACCTGAACGCGATCCGTCTGTTGAATCTCCCATTTCAAAGTTGCGTTTCCGCTTACGGTTATACCGTCGGCATCCAAGGATGTTAAGAAATTTGACAAATCAAATAAGCCGTTTACGTCAAGTGTTCTGGGATCAGGATCTCGACAACTGATAAATACTTCCTCATCCAGAACCATTAGCTCATACCTTTCCCCACCTGTATGGCTAAAGATGGTCAACATTACCAGTAGTAATACTTCAAGATCCATTATATCCGCGAATTGAAACGCGGTCATGGATTTTAAAGCCAATATATACTTACCAGAATCACGCAATGCTCCTGTTAATTAAATTAATTACCCCCTACTTACCCCAGTTTTTCTGTGTACGTCCCCAACCATTTAATATGTATAATTAAAAGCTACATCTATCTTTTTAATTAATACTTATTATTAACCTTGCACTTCCGTATAGTATAGGATAGTCATGCTTAGTAATCCCGAAGGACGTTATCTTCGCCTATGATAGGAATAAAATTCAAAGTCAAACTTGCCGCAAATTTATCAATATCAATGACAATAATAATTTTTTCAAAATCTATCATGTAAATTTGCATCCGCTGATTTCTATATAGTCCATATTTTTAGGTTAGAGTATATTTATAAATTTGTTTTATTGTTCAACATTTTTAAGTAAACTAATGGTATCTGAGTAGCAGCAGCTATGCCCGTTATATGTAAAGAAAACAATTTCTTTTCTTTTATTATTTTAGTACAAAGCCAATATTTTATTTATGTTATATGCATAGAAAAACATTTCTTTTCTTTTATTATTTTAGTAAAAAGCCAATTTTTTATTTATTGTCTAAACTTTTACAAGATGTATTGTCAAGCAAAGGTCAGAGATGTGTGGTTACTTCTTATTTAATTGGTCACAATTTAAATAGTTCTCCCTGTACCTCAAAGCAAATTCGAGTTGGCCGCTCTGTCCCGGAGGAATCGTAGGCTCTGAATATTATTCTGGTTTTGTAGCGTCCTTCGCGAAGTGCGCCGCCCACAACGTTGGCGGTCAAACTTAGCACGAAGGTCTTATATACCATTTTTGTCTGCAAGGTGAAAAATTGGAGTGGCTTTTTTCATGAGATTCACCTATGGATACCTACTCCGGAAACATTCAAACATTTATCCTCAATATCATTAGAAACATGCTCCGTCCAATATTTGTACCAAAGCTGATTTTTGTCGTACATAACCTTGCAGAAATCCCTTGAAGACAGTGAAAACACAGTAGACGTCCAGGTGCCTCTGTCCAAATACGAAAGGTTCAAGTTCATCTGGGAAAGAAATTATTATGTCATGAGTTATATAGACATTCATGGTTGGTTGCATTCAAGACTTTATCACCTGTACACGATCCTTCTGTTGAATGTCCCACACCAGAGTCGTGTTTCCCTTTACGGTTATACCATCAGCATCCATAGAAGTTGTTAGATCTGAGAAGTCCATTAAGCCATTTATGTCAAGTGTGCTTGGATCAGGATCATGACAACTGCTGAATATATCCTCATCCAAAACTGAAAGCTCATACTTAACTGCCTCTGCAAGGCTTGTGATGGAGAAAACCAACAGTAGGATAACTTCCAGATGCATTATATCACGAGTCCTAGAGCGTTCATTGCTGTTAATCGTATATATACCTTGCAGAATCACGCAATGCTCTTGATAATTATAGTAATTACACTTTACTTACCCCTTGAATCTCGAAACACTCCCGTAATTGTAGTAATTACCCTTTACTTTTCCCAGTTTTTTAGTGTTTTTTATATATTTATAGTTATAAATTATATAGCTATATTTTTAATGAATACCTGTTTATAATAACAATAATTAATTTGCACGTTTATAACTTTTATTTCCTGTGGAGTACAGGCAGCTCATGGTTAATAAACTATATGTTTTTTAAGCTCCGTTCCTTCAGAAAATCTTTAAGGTCATTGCATCACTAAAAAGTTTTTAATTTAAACGTTCATAATAAAATGTTATCTACGCCTAAAAAATTAAAAAACTAAAAAGGTAAATTTCGAAAACCTTAATGAAAGTAAGTATTCGCTTTAATTTTAGAATTAAGTTTATTTTTTTATTTTAAAATGTAAACACACATAGACTTTGCAAGAAAGTCCTACTTTGATTTATTGTTGAAGCTTGTGCATGTTGGACGTTTGGCAAACCATGATAAAAATATTATAAGAGGTTATTATTTATTCCTAACTTTAAAAAAGTCGCCCAATATTTCGTAGCATATACGAGTTGGCCTCTCGGCTCCGTAGGAATCGAAAGCTCGGAAGACTATGTTGGCTTTGTAGTGTCCTTCACGAATTGGTCCCGCGATTGTAGTCGTCAATCTTACCAAATATGTCTCCAAAATTATTTTCGTCTGCAATGCAATTGTTGAAATTTTAATGTTATAAGAAAAATATATAAATTGTGACTATCTAAACCTACCCCCGGACTATTAAGACATTTATCCTTGATATCGTTCGAAATATATTGGGTCCAGACTTTATACCATATCTGATTCTTTTCGTACATGTCCTTACAGAAATCCTTACTAAACAATGAGAAGATTGTCGGCTTCCAGGTGCCTCGATCCAATAAAGAAGGTTAATAGAAAGCTGCAAAAAATCCGGGTTATCAAAGCTCTAATTGTTGATGCTAAGGGATAAGTTACCGTTACGCGGTCCTCCAATTGAATGTCCCACACCATAGTCGTGTTTCCGCTAACAGTTACTCCATCAGAATCCATGGAAGTTGAGAACTCTGACATATCCAATAAGCCATGTATGTCCAGTGTGCCGGGACGAGCATCAGGACAACTGCTGAATATATCCTCATCCACCACCACAAGTTCGTACTCTGCTCCATTTGCATGGCTTAGGAGGGAAAGGATCGCTAGCAGAATCAGTTCAAGTTCCATCGTATCCGAAGATGTCAGCCTATTAAATCTTGTTTAGACCGATTGGTTTATATATACCTTGCATCATCACGCAATTCTATTGTTAATAATATTAATAACCCTTCAGCTATTATAGTTTTCTAAACTACAGATCTAATTGCATTTTATGTAAATTGATAATTATATACCACCCTCCAATGCACAGTTACCAAAAAAACCATTTTTACATTACTAAAAAAAGAACGCAACTGTCAGTATCTTATTTTATTTTTAATTTATGAAAGGTAGCAATTATATGTTTTTGAAATACTTACTTGGACATGAGGTTTCCCATTTAATCTTTAAAATCTTTTCATTTTTTTGTTTAATTGGTTGTTCCATCATCCTACAGATATTGCATTTTTCAGACCCTTAAGGATTGTTTTACATCCAGTTCTTCTGAATATTAAAGTCAGACTTGTAAAACACATAACCTTTGCTTATAGATATCTAAAAACAGTCCTATATAGCCGTTACTTGTGATTAAAGTTATTTGTTCTACTTTTCTTAATCTGGATCATAAGTCTAGTCGATTTAGCCGTGTGCGTCTGCTTGTTCGTAGGAACGTTAAGATCTCGGAATCTATTAAGCTTTAAAGCTGGGATTAGCATGAATATTCTAGAGGTTTATGCGCAGCGCTAACGCGCCCATCAATACCTATCTACACGACAACTCGGACCATTGGTTAATAATTTAATAGAGCCACGGCCCATACATAGCAAGAACAAGGTTTCTGACATCAGAACCAGTAGATATAAATGTAAAGTGAAAAATTTAAAAAAGACCTGTATTAGAGACATATTTATTTTAAACTTGGTTATGATAGTAACGGGTAGGGTATCTCATAGTCGAAGCATTTGATTATAGCATTTCTGCTTGTTTTATTTATTGGTAAGGCTTGTGCAAGTTCGGCGTTATTGCAATAAAATAAAGAAAATTTAAAACAAGGTACATATTGTTACTTCTTGACTTTATATACGTCGCCCAATATTTCAAAGCATATGCGAGTTGGCCTCTCGACCCCGGAAAAATCGTAAGCGTGGAACATAACAATGGCTTTATAGCGACCTAGACGAAATGGTCCCGTGGTTGTAGCCGTCAAGCTTAGCATTATGTGTCCAACATAATTTTTGTCTGAAACAAAATCGTTTGAAAAATGAATATTATAAATATTTACAATACGAATATCGAAACCTACCCCAGGAATATTAACACATTTATCCTTAATGTCGTTTTTAATATGTTGGGTCCAGACTTTATACCACATCTGATTTTCGTCGTACATGGACTTACAGAAATCCTTTATAACCAAAGAGAACACTGTCGGCATCCAGGAGCCTCGATCAAATAGAGAAGCTTAATAGACAGCTGCGAAATATTTGGATTTAACTACTTGTTGATGTTGGGGGCTTAGTTACCGTTACGCGATCCTCCATTTGGATGTCCCACACCAAAGTCGTGTTTCCGCTAACAGTCACTCCATCAGCATCCAAGGTAGTTGAGAATTCCGACAAATCCAAAAGGCCATTTATGTCCAGAGTGCCGGGAGCAACATCCTGACAACTGCTGAACACTTCCTCATCCACCACCGAAAGTTCGTACTCCGTTCCATTTGCATGGCATAAGAGGAGAGGATCCCTAGTAGAGTTAGCTTCAGTTCCATTATATCGGTATATGGTCGATGTTGTTTAATAATAGCTTTATATACTGCCCACCAGCACGCAATGTACTTATAATAATATAATTACCTTCCCCGTAACATAGTTTTCTAGACCACATTTCTTATCTCATAATTAATTATATACCCACTGCAAAAAACAACTATTAAAAAATAACCCATTGTCAGTATGCTGAAATTCTTTAAACATTATGTGAGTGTTAATATATATATACTTAATTAATTAATATTTCAATAATAAGGTAGCAATAATATACGTCTTTAAAATTATTTTTGAACGTGCTAAAATACCATTTAACTTTCTAATCTTTTCTTTCTATGTTTTATTGAAAACATTTTTTTAATTGGTTCTGCTGTCTACTATAGGAATTGTAGCAGCGGAAACTGTCAGGCCGTTCAAAATGCATATTGCAGTGCCCTAAGGGTTGATCCACATACTCCAGTCTTTTTGCTATTACTTTGAGCGACACTCAAATGGCTGTATATCAAAGTCAGCAGGGGGTTTAAACGGTTGCCTTGAGGCTTCAGTTTGGGGTGGGTTTTGTTTTATACCACGCATGCATTCAAAAGGTCGAAGAGCTAAGGGAGTATTTTTGGGGTGGAACTTCGCTTTTTTGGTTATTTTTTAAACGGTTTCACCTTATTTGATTAAATTATTATAGGGGCAAAACGCAAATATTTTAGTTTCCGGCTCACACAATTTAAAAATGTAAAAATTTATGGCACCGTTGGCCAATGATATGATATATGAATTGCCTCGTTTACATTATGAGGCATATTGAAATAAATGTGAAATGGGAGCATATTACGTAAATGATTTGGGTATAGGTAATTGAATTCACGAATAGATTTATGTTTATGTTATGACTACTTTTTGAGTAGCAAGGCGCTTTGATTTCGATCCCTAAAACTGGCAAACCGTTATGATGACACATAAAACGTTTGGTTGAAACGTGGCAAAACCCTTTCGATTTCGAAATGCCTGACTCCCAGTACACCGTATCCATTCCATATCCTGTGTACCCGTAAAAGGGACCACACACAACGTTCGCTGACAATGTCGCGACAACAGAAATGACAGCATAATAATAATAAAAGGGAATAAAACACACAGTCCACAGCCCACTTACATCCAAAAGGGGGGGATTCTTGAAAAGCCCCAGTGCCAGCAACAAAAACAAATAGAGCAACAGCGATAAATATCGAAAGGCATAAATAAACCTGTGTTTGGCTGCGTGGGAGAGTGAAAATACAGGAGCAGACTGGGGATAATGAGGTAGTATTGACTTTGACTTTTACCAAAATATAGGTACTTATTATGTGCTTATAAAAACATTTAAAAAGGAAGAAACAATTAGCTACTATAAGTTTTCGTTAATAAAACATTTTTTAGACTCACAATACCATGACTGAAATATCTCAAAGGACTTTGAAGGTATAAGTAGTATGTTAGTTTGTCGAAATTTTTTTTGGCCCCTTTATCCTTTGGCGCCCAAGTAGCGCTCCTGGATGTAGCGAAAGAGTTACGCGCTGCAACAACAATGAGGAGCCGCTCGTTGGCGGCAAAAGTGAAGATGCCTGGCGTCGGTTTGTCGACGCTTGGCGCGTTTTGTAAATATTTACACATGTAGCAGTTACCTGTGATTGTGATTGTAGCGCCATTGTGTGTGCATGTGGGTGTATGTTCCCGGGGATGTGTGTCTATAAATACACACACACACACGGCCGCGTATCCTAACAATATATGTGTGTGTTTAAATATTTGCCGCTTGCCTTTCTAAAAGAAAACATTGCCTGCTTTCGGGGGCTGTCATTTATTACTGTCTGCCGATATTTTAATTAAGTTTATAATGCCAGATGCCTTGGCAGGCATTTCGTGAGGAGGCAGGCAACAGACAAGTGGGCTAGTGCCGCCCATTAAGCCAAATCTTGCCTCTTCCCCCCTCCTCAAAATCAAAGGCAACGGAAAGCAATAACACAAGTGGCACGTGACTTGTTTACCATATAGAATTGTTTGTCCTTATGGCTTAAATGTCGCAGTGCACATGCAAAAAGATATACACACAGATTCCAGATCAAAATCTGCCATCATGGGTAATACAGTTGAGCCTACTGCAATAGCATTAGAAATTATTATAAAGGAAATGTGATTTCAATATTTAATTTAATGCGTTTCTGAATAAAATTATGTATGTTCAAACTAAAATTTTTTTAATTTTATATATAAATTTATTTTTTATTTGGCATTAAGAAAATATTTAACTTATAGACATATAAATTTAACAGTTTACTGAAAATTCCCTGATTATAAACTGATCTCATAATAAGGAATCAAGTTTGCTAGCTCTCTTATTTTGACCGCAGGTGTATAAATGGACTGATGTGTGAGCACCGGGAACAACAGAAAGTGTTTTCGCAAAAAATGGAAATTGATACGGGAATATGGCTGGCAATGCCGATGGTGCTGCTTTTGGTACGTGAGGGGGCGTGGGTCAATCAGCAGGAACCACAGCAACAATAATGACACCAAATCCCAGTACAATGGGTCTGCGAGCGACTTTAGGCGATTCTGGTCCCTGAAAAACAAGCGGGGCTATTACAAAAAACATATACCCATATTGAATGCGAGCAAAAATAGCCACAAAAGCTGTCGAGAGGGCAAGTCTGCAGCGGACATAACGAACAATTGCAAAGTTTCGCTTCATATTGTTTATTAATTGATTCTGTATGTAGGAGTACCACTAGGTATTCGGGAGCTAAAACCCCTGAATGTCTGAGCCTGAGGTTTAGTGTCTATATCTTTTGTGTTGTCTGCGGTTGTCACGTCAGCCTGTGGGTGTGCTACAAATTTTGTTTTCGTCCTTCAAGGATTCTACTTGTCCTGTGTGGAACAGTCGCCTTCTTGGGGGATTCCTTCTTTCTTTCCAGCTATCTTTTTTTTTGTTTGCATAAATCAATTTATCAATTTCAAAGTTTCCGCGCTACTTGGCTTGTTCTGGCGTTGTCGCACTGGCGAGTTTGTAAACGCTTGTCAGAGTGTTTTGCTTTTTGCCACGCTCGGGAAAATGCAAATGCAAATTCAAGTGCAGTTTGCCGCGAAACGCATAAAATACGATTCGAGAACCGGAAGGCAGGCGGCGGAAATGAAACGAGACAGACGGCTTTCGACTGGCAATGCAATCTGACTGCTTCTCGAGCAGCGACTGCGAGACCAACTTCATTTGTCATTTTGTCACATTAACGCAATGGAAATGCAATATGCTAATGTCAAATTTTATGAATGAGCATGAAAATATTTGCCAAAGCTGCGTAACTTAATATAATAGTTTTTACTAGGGGATGGAAGCCCATTAATGGATTAAAAAACAAGTAACGAGCAAGTAATTGTAGAGGTTATAATGTAATTTTAAATAAGTAACAGAAAGTAAAATTACCCTTTCTTGATAAGAACACTGATATTTTAGGAACAACACATATGTAATACTCTAATTTTTAAAAGGTGTTAACCTTTTAAATGGCTTTCAAAAATAAAGTGAGTTAAAAATGCAAAAGTTAATCTTAAATTCATGAACTCATGTCCAATAACTTCCCACATACACAGTTTCTACCAAGCACGTTTATTATTCACCCTTTTCCACTATTTTCTAAGAGACTCCTTACCGCATCTCTTCCTCTTCTAGCCCGCATCCGTTTCCGCCCCGCTGCCACGCCCACACAATTAACGATTCATATGGCACGCATTTAAGTTTTGCATTCCAAGTGAGCCGCAAATCTTCTGTCACGCTTCCTTGAGCTCTCAAAAAGGCAAAAACTCAAAGTCAACTTGAAAGTCTAAGATGTCTGTGTGTGTGTGTGTGTGGGATATGGAACAAAAATCAGATTTTCATTAACCCACACAAATGGAGCGAGCGGGAAGCTGGCAGATTTTCCTTGGTCTGGCAACCGAAAAGTTTTTGAAGGACGACATTTCTATTCATTAGTCGCATCTATAATCACACACACACTTTGGGCATTGATTTGGTGTCGCTGTCTCTCCATTGCCACCATTTTGTTGCCAAAAAGACGCACGCTTTATTAGCCTGATGAAAAGTTAACTAAACTTTGGTTTTTCTGGGCCACATTTGGCACAGTCCCCCACATTCCAATTCCCAGATCTCAAATCCCAGAACCCAGAACCGAGAGCCCAGAGTCCCCAAGTTCATTCTGTTTTGTTGGGTTTGCATTTGACTTGTGTGTGGAAGGGTCTATCTTTGCTCTCCTCTAAAATATCAATAAATTCAATTAAAACTATTTTAAAGGGGGCTAAAAGCCACTGGCCTGGCTCAGACCCACATCTCCACCTCATCAGCCGGCAGCTAAATGCGAAGCTTCCATTTGCCAAATGAACTACCCAGTACACACTGAACGAAATTTGAAATCTATACCTGTTCTTTAGACAAAAATTTGTTAAAGTGTAAAAAGTTTTTTTTAAATTTCTATGGCCGTATCTGTCAAGAGTCTTCTACAAATTATTTTTTGAAACTACGTTTTGTATAAAAATATATACGTTTAAAACCTTTAGTAAGGCCAGTTTATTTAAGTATAATAAATATTTTTATGGTAAAAAATCGAACTAGTATCTTTTAATAGTATAAATTTTGTCTCATTTGCTTACATATTTAGTTATTTTTAGGAAATACATATGTCTCAATATCTTAAGTTGCTAAATTTGTATTAAAAAAACCTCAGACATCAGTTAACATGAGTCCATTTATTGTGCCACAGGTTTCCTTATAACATTTCCTGCAACTTTACATTAGCAGTAAGATTTCAGAGCCAGGTTAGCATAATGTTAAGACCAAAAACCCCTGTCAACGGGGCAATGTTCGAAAAAGGAGGGGGAAATTGAGGGGTGGTTTTGATGTTACTGATATGTTTAGCCTCTGTTCTGTTAAAAGCTGTTACTGTTTGTCGTTTAAACATGAGATGTTAAGCTTTAGCCTGTT